TTCTATACTAGATTCTGCACCTGCCCTACAGGGTACAATGACAAAGGAGAAAGCCACAGCCCTTGTCCTCCAGGAGTTTAGAGTCTAGCAAGGCAGAAAGAGAATTAAGCAGGTTATTTCTACACAGATGAACATGGCCTGTGATAGAACAAGAGTGGAGAGCTCTGGGAGCCTAGAGGAAGAGACCTGGCCTGGCCTCTCATGTCACTACCCGGAAGAGACACGCTCTGGAGGAGTGGTCATGTTGCAATGCGTCCCTCGGATCACTCACAGTCCACACACAGCTGAGGGCCTTTAGAGGTCCAGGCAACATGGTTGGCACCAGGCAGACAAAGATGGAAGCTGACCTCAAGATGCCTACATCTGGCTACATCACTCCTTTTCTCTGATTCTCTCCCTCTCAACTCCATCCCATTAGTATACATACTAATTATCTCTTGATCTTCAAGAAGAGAAAATCAAAATCCACTCAAGCAAATCAAACCAAATACATCTCCTTGTCTTTCCTTTATGGATTCATCTTTTTCCTTATCTTCAGAGCTACCTTCTTGAAAAGGGTATTGAAAAACTTTGTCTCCACTTGGCCTCGAACTCACGTTCAATGCCCATCACACCATTAAAATGGCTCTTCCTTCAGCCATTCATCAAGGAATTATTGAGTTGCCATTAGATACCGGGTATTTATATTGGCACCGAGTGAGGATTTGTTCGTGAACAGGACTGATGTGGTTCCATTCCTCAAGGCAAGATGGAGTATCTGCATAAAGAGCAAGGAGTGTTAGGACAGGCAATCGTAGTCTCCTACAGAATCTTGTCTAGTGGTCATAGAATACCAGAAGATGAGCCATGAAGAAAGAATAAGAACATACCAGGCTGGTGGGCATGGTGTTGTTGGTGAATCAACAGTGTTTTGAGCAGAGGGAACAAAGTGTCTGAGAAAGCTCACAGGAGATAGAGAGACCAGAGTAACAAGACCTTCGAGTCAGCAGAAGCCAGCATGTGTGGGACCTTGGAGGTGTAGGATGGCTTTGGACTTCATCCAGAGGGTAGCAGGAACTCTTGAAGGGTTTTAAGCAGGAGAGGAGCTTACTGACTTGTGATTCAGGAAGATCACTGGGGTGGGAGTGATGGAGAAGGCAGTGGTTCTCAAACTTCATCAAGCTCTAGGGGGCTTGTTAAAACACAGGTGCCTGGGCCCCATCTCCTGAGATTCTAATTCAGGGGGGACTAAGTGTTTGCATTTGTAACAAATTCATGGGTCATGTTGATGCCAGTGGCCCAGGAAACACCCTTTGGGAACTCCTGGAGAAGGTCTTGCAGGAGGGCAGGGTTCTGGGGGAGTGATTAGGCAGCTGTCTTAAGTGATGGTTTGGATGAAGGGAATGAGGAGAGTGAGGATCCTGGGTGGATGGGGAGGAGGTGTGGCCAAGAAGATGCCTCCATATTGCTAAGTCCAATGGACCATTCTCTGTGCATCCGGTTGTACCTCTTGCTGCCTTCGACACCACTGATAGAAGGGCTTCCGTTATACAGTTTCCTCCTAGTTTCCCTCCATCCCTCTGATGACATCTTCTCTTTTGGTTCCTCTCCCAGCATTTCCTGGGCTCCATCCTTGATTCCATTTTCCCTGGAAGAAGGGAGGTGGGGTCTCCAGCACTGCTCAGAGCTTCAACTCCCCCTCCTACATAGTAAGCACTCTGAAAACGTTTGTAAAATAACGTAGAGACGACTTGCCAGTTTTCTTTGCCCCCTACAGTCTATAGGGCTAGGACCTTATCTATCTCCTTTATCTTGGCATCCTTCCCACCCTCAGTCCACTGTGGGCACACAGTAGATACTCAACAGACATTAACAAGTGAATGAATTCCTCCTCTCACCATTTTGCCAGCTCTGTGAAAGCTGGCAGAAAGTTTGAGATTAATCTCTCAAAGTTTCAATCTTCTTATGTGTGAAATGGGGATTAGAAATAGAATTTGCCTCCCAAGAGCTGCTTTGGGGATGAAATAAGATAATGCAGGTAAAGTGTTTAGCACACAGTAAACATTAACTACTATTATTGTTGTTTTTATTGTTGGTACTTGTGTGACTTTGTGAGAGCTGTTGAACTTGTCTAAACTTCAGTACTGTCATGTTCAACAGTCACTCTCCAGCCGGGCCATTGGGAGGGTCCTGTGAGATGGAGGGTCTGGCAGATAGTAGGTGTGTAAGAAGGTTAATTCTCTCTCCCTGAGCTCTCCCCTCTCCCACCCTATAGACCCCTGACTGCAGTGGAGCATTTTATCCCTTGCTGGGCTGACTGGGTGACAATGGGAAGAAAGCGTTAGGACTTGTGGCTGAGCTCCCAGGCATTGTTTAAAAACAAAGAACATTCTTTTTAACCTCAGAAGATCTATATCCCATTAACACTCCCTCCCCTCAACTGTGTCTTCCTAAAGAGCTTAGTGTCGACTAATACAAACGAAATGAAATAAAAAACAAAATAGGAAATTAACTCAGAGTCATTTAGAATGACGAAACTCTTTTTGGCCTGTTTCCCAAGCTTTTTGCCAGATTTTCTTAAAGACCAGCAGAGAACTCTACTTATATATCCACGCTTTGAGTAACCTAAGTATCAGGCTGGCATTGTGAAAACTGTGTTCATCTAAAAATTTGATGGATTGTTTTTATAATGTGGATCTCCTTTGTTGCCTCCAAATGGCAGCATAAAATAACACTTCCTTCCTCTTTATACATTCCATTCCTAACAAAACCACCCCAGGGATTCCCGTGGGGTAGTCATTAATTCCTGGACAGTGTCCTGGTAAAAGGCATAGTCAGTATTCTCTTATTCCTTCCTGTGTATTCCTGACCAAATTGTGGGCTCCTCCTGTCCATCTCTTGATTATTGTTATCTACAAAGTAGATTGCACAACGGCACAGACCCTGGGGACTCTCTGGATTGGCTCTGAGGACTAATTTGTGTTAGGGTCAAGATCAGCCTGACTTTCTGGAAAGAGGTTGGCATCTGTGCTGTTTTCATAAACGGTTCCCTGGCTTCGTAAACCAAAGAGGGGGGCCTAAGAGTTAGTTGGAATGGTTCCCTTCCATCCCCACAGCCAAGCTCTGTATCCCTAAAGTTGTTTCCTGATAATTTGGAATGGGGAGTTGTTTTCCTAGTGAGGAACACTCTTTCCTATTCCACGGGCCTGTCCGTACTTAGTGATGCAAACTAACACTTTCCCTGTTCCCAAGTGAGTCACTCCAGGGCTGCTCTCCAGCCCACAAAGGGGCAAAGAGTGAATCGTTTAAGATCTCCCCACTTTAGTAACGCTTTGAACTACTCACCTTCTGTGGATTGAATCTCCCTTTGAATTTAGGATATAGGGTGTGACAGCTTGAAGCTATTAGGGTGGGACTTAGAACCCAAAATAAAGGATCAAGAAAAAGACATTAAGGGCTTGAACAAATTACTCGAGGGGTCAGAGCCAAAGACAGTAATTATTTATTGACTTATGGGTGGTGGTGCTGGCGGTGATGGATTAACATCCCAAAGAGAGTAGAGGGATCTGAAGATCTACTCTGAGCTGAGACAAAGGGATAATTAGAACCACAATAGCAACTTCCATTTACCTATGTGGTAACGTTCTAGTTTCTGGTTCAGGCTGTGGGTTTTCAAAGGCTTATAATTAATAATATCACAGCCAAAAGTGCCTTTTCATGTTCTAATGATGAGCATGTGTCATGAGTGTCCCTGTGTGAAAGAGGTTGGAAGGAAGGGGAGTTTGTCGTTCCCAAAATAATGACTCATGACAAAGAGTAAGTATGTTTTATTTTATGATCTGAACGGTAGCATTTCCAGACTGGCTGCTTTCCAGGAACAACCGGTGAATCTCATTTAATAAATGGCTAAGGTAGGAGTGAATGAGTTGTGGGGTTTCTCAGTGTGAAAGGAAAACTTAAACAATGAACAATGATAACAAAGAATAAAAAAGAAAAGGGGAACTGATGTCCAACTGGGTCTGAATGTTGAAACCGAAGGCACATAATGACCCCTGTTCTGGTGAACAGCCACCTGATTCCTCCGGCCGAGAGAGCGGTCTACCACCCGTCTAGCGTGGACCGCCTGGGTTGGAATCCCAGCTCTACTCTTCATTATCAGCGGACCTTGCCTGCATGGATGAGTCTTTCTGTGCCTCAGTTTCTCCTTCTACTAAAGGGAAATCAACAGTACCTCCTTCCTAGGGTTGAGGTAGAGTTATTGTAAGGAAGATGCTTAGAAGAATGCCTGGCACATAAATAGTTTAGTGTTGTTATTACTTGAGTCATTCCGTCGGGCCCCAAACCAAAAGTATTCTTGATCTCAGCACTTGAGACACTGTAGGGTGAACTAAGGCATGACAGCGAAGTGGTAAGTGTTTTTCAACAAACCCGGAACCTGGATTCTGACTTTCACTCTCTGTGGGGCCAGAGAGGTGACATGACCCCTCTGAGCATCTGTATTTCATTTTAGTAAAGTAGGGTTAATACCTTGCCTACCAGAGCTGCCTTGGGGCTTATGAGACAACTCATGTAAAACGCCTGGAACCTGGTGGTAGCAGGCAAGCAAAAGTGGGTTTCTACTCTTCCCTCATCAACTCTTGCACTGGGCAGAACCCCCAGGTTTGAATGGAGCGGGGACATGGCATGGGTTAACCAAATCAGAACGGAGTTTCTTCTTCATCTTCTTCCCAACTCCAGCCCTTCCCCCTCTTTGTATACTTAACTGTTATCTTCAACCTCTGCATCCCTTTGCCTACTTCTGACGACTCACCAGCCTCCTGCCTTTCATTCTTTCAAGTATCAACTCAGGCCCTTATCACAAATCTCCAGGAAGCATCTTATAACCCTGAGAACTGAAAGACCTTAACTTCTGTTCCCATCTTTGTAAACTCACTCCCTCATGGGCCAAATTCTGTCAGTCAGTAATTGATGAAAAGAGAATCAAAAATAAAGAAAAGAAACAAAACACTCACAACTTAAGATTTGGCTCAATTATATATTTGCCACGTATTTTATTTTTTTCTAAAAACAATAGAAAAAAATCAACTTTAAAAAGGAAAATGTACTTAAATAAAAAAAATTATGGTTTATAATACAGGGTTTGAAGTTTTGCATAACTGCTATAAACGTTTTATTATTTACATTTAATGGCCATATTTACACAGGAAAATTGGGGTAAATTTTAGCATGTTTTAAAAACAACTCTTAAATACAAATCTGCTAAAGGAAAAAAAAATGGCAAGCATAAAAAACGTTCTTTTATGCTCTAAGTTCCATTTGAGGCAGTTTACATTATGGCTAAACCTTTCAGTCCCAAGACCCAGCCAAGGTTGTGAGGTTACATTTGACCATGCATTTGGAAAAAAGTTCAGTCAGGAATTGCTGCAATTCTGTCCTAAGGAACTTTCTTCCTTACTTTCTCTTAGTAACAAGTGAGAATTCATGAGCAATTCCAGTTCTTTCTTCCAATAGGTCAATCTATGCTCAACAGTTCCGTAGCTGTTCAAGTTTAAGCTGCAAATGTTCTCGTCGCTTCCTCAGTAAATCCTTTTCTGAAACGAGCTTCTGCTCCTCTGCCTGGACTGACAAGATAAATACGGTGGCTTTTTTAAGGATAACTACTTTAGGAGCTTTTTCATTATTTTCCAACTCAGGGATCTGGTCTCGCAGGGCAAAAAAGCTCCTTTTCAGCTCATTTCTCCTCTGGCGTTCCAGGACGTTGTGTGTCCTCCTCTTGTCATTCTCCTCTGTGTCCGAAGACCTGGGGCTGGTACATTTCCGGTTGTTGCTGATCTGTTTCAGGACCCTGCCACTGTCCAACTTAGCCCTCTTGGCGGCAGGATAGTCCTTCCTAGTGGAGGGGGGAGCTGCGTAATTGTGCTGGTGGGTGGACACGTGGCATCGCTTAAGGACCAGGGGGCTGTGAGGAGGTTTGCTGTGGCCTCCTGCAGAGGGTGACCCCGATTCTGACCTTTTGGCAGGGGGCTGCCTCTTTTCCACAGAAACAACATCAATTTCTTCCTCATCCTCTTGTTCTTCTTCTTTAAAAAAAGAAATAGAAATCACTCGATTAGCAACGTTTCCTTAAAGCAATCAATGACCAGAATAAATTGATGCTATGCAAAGATAAGGCATTATGATGTGAAAAAGAACCCTGGCACAAAGTTATTTCTAGAGGACACACTAGCCAGTCATCCTCGTTCTTCTCCCCACGAAGGCAGAGGCTCAGAAAGGGAGGAGGACGGCTGGGTTTATGGCACAGACAAGAAAATTACAATTTACCAGGATACAACACTGATGCCAATTCTTACCTAAGACTTTTGGACACACCCAAAGCAAAGCGCATTCCCAAGCACCTCCTATTTTTAAGGGATTGTACCAAGAACCCTTCAGGTGTCGCAAATGATAGCTGCAAATCTCTTGGTACGATTTTAGCAACTCCCTAATTTACTGGAAGTACAAAAAGAAAAAAAAAGATCTTGCAGCTTTGCCAAAAGTCCTAGGGGGTGGGGAAGGAAAAAAGCCCGTGTTGGGCAGGATTTGCTTTGAAGTGTTCAAAAGAGGCTGAAAGGATCCCAGCTCCTCTGCCCATCCACTCTTAAGGCACTTTCCCCAGCTCACAGCACCCAGGCTGGAGACAAGCCCTCTTCATTTTCGTCGATCTGTAGTCCATTACATTCCAAGAACTTCTCAGAAGTTAAGAAGGCAGTTCATTCACTCTAGCACAGATCAATCCTCTCTTATCCTTATTCACACTCCCCCCACGCAGGGCAATTAAAATGCTTAAGAAAGGTAAGAAGGAGTGGATTGAGTTGCAAGATAAGCCAGAAGATTTAAAAACCCAAATGAAATTCCTAAGGTGGGGAGGGGAGGGAAAGGAGGAGGATGGCCACTAGGCGGTCTTAGGGGAAGCTATGGGAGAGAATCCTAAAGCCCAGCGTCCCAGGGATGATGAGCTCCCAGATCCTTCCAGATCTGCCATTTCTTTTCCAAATATAAGAAAAGAGGAAAGGAGGAGTCAACTGAAGCGGCCAGCTGAATTAGCCGCCAATGAGAAGAGGAAAGAAAGCCAGCCGCTCCCTTTGACAGGCCTGGAGGGGTCCAGCTTACCAGAGTCGCTGCTGGTGGTGGGGGGTGTCTCCTCGTGGAGCGTCAGGGGCTCGGGGCTGGCCCGCGGGGAGGACTCGGCCGAGGAGAGCAGAGAGTCCGAGGACGAAGAGAAGGCGGTGGAGTCGGGGGAGGCGCAGGGCTTGGGCGAGCTACCGTCGTTGAGCGGGTAGGGGAAGACCACGGAGGGGTCGATGCATTCGGAGGCGGCGGCGCTCAGGTCCTGCAGGTACAAGCTGGAGGTGGAGCAGCCGCCGGGCCCGCGGGCGGGGCTCGGGCTGCCGCTGTCTTTGCGCGCAGCCTGGAAGGAGGCCAGCTTCTCTGAGACCAGCTTGGCAGCGGCCGAGAAGCCGCTCCACATACAGTCCTGGATGATGATGTTTTTGATGAAGGTCTCGTCGTCCGGGTCGCAGATGAAGCTCTGGTTCACCATATCTCCTCCCAGCAGCTCGGTCACCATCTCCAACTGGTCGGCCGTGGAAAAGCTGCCGCCGCCGCCGTCGTCGTCTCCCCTGGGAGAGAAGGACGCCACCGCGACATAGGAGGGCGAGCAGAACCCGGAGCGGCGGCTCGGGGACAGGGGCGGGGTGGGCAGCAGCTCGAATTTCTTCCAGATATCCTCGCTGGGAGCCGGGGGCTGCAGCTCGCTCTGCTGCTGCTGCTGGTAGAAGTTCTCGTCTTCGTCGCAGTAGAAATAGGGCTGCACCGAGTCGTAGTCGAGGTCATAGTTCCTGCTGGCGAAGCTGACGTTGAGGGGCATCGCGGCAGCCTGCTGAAGGGGGCACACAAAGCGGGGCAGTCTTCAGTTAAGGGGGTTTTCGTTGGCGTCGAAACCCCGTGCAGTGCGCGCCGAAATCCCGAACACACTCCCCTTCCAACGCTATCCCCCAAAGGGGCCGGTGGGGGGGACCCCCCAAAAGGCGCCCTTCCACCCTCTCTGGGTGATCCCCTATAATCTTGGACACACACTTGGAGAGCCAGCAGCGTAGCGCCAGCGGAGCTTCAGTCCGCGCGAAGCGCGAAGCCCCGGAGTTGGCCCCGCAGCCCCCAAGCAATCGAAATCGCCTCTGGTCTCCTTAAGAGGCCGGGGGAGGCAGCAGTGGGGAATACAATCTGCCAAATCGAAAGGCGCAAAGTTTTGCGCCACCCCAAGGATACGGAGAGAGGCGCCGGCGGCGGGAGCGGCTGCGCGCGGCCCCCTCCCGCGCCGGGCCCCTCCGCGCCGCGCCTGTTCCCACTCGCGCCCTCGCCGCGCTCCTTCCCCCGCCGGCGCCACAGCCCCTCCCAGCCTCCACTCTGCCTCCTCCATCCCCACCCCCCAGCGCGCCCCCCTTCCTTCCTTTGCCGGCTATTGCTTCTTTTCTCTCGCCGGCTGGTGTAGCGAGCTCAGCCGCGGGCCTTAACACTTGCCCCCATAAATTAAAGGGGGGTGTTAGATAATAACAGGGGCACATCCCTTCAATACCCAATCCGGCGACGAAACTGCGCCAGAGACCCTGCTGCGATTCCGCGCCCCGAACCGGGCGTCTTCCCTTCACCCGCCGAGGGTAGCAGCTGTTCTGGAAAAGCCCGGAGCCCCGCTCCCTGCCGTCCCCTCGCATTTCAGGGGCAAGGGGACACCAGAGGCGGCCGGGGAGCCAAGGCTGGGTGCGGAGATTTGCCCTGGTTTTGCCCAGGTCAGTGATTCCAGGAGAGTCAGACGCATCCCTTCCCCAGCCTTCCCGTTCCCCCTTCCTGCGCCTCCCCAACACCAAGTCCTAACATCTCTGTAGACTAGGATCTTTAATTTCATCATTCTTTTGAAATGCCAAATGTCAACTTCTTAAAAAAGAGCAGGGGGGCGAATTGGAAACACCGTGGGGGTCGGCGGGCGGGACGCGCCGCAGTGTCTGTCTCTGGCTGTCAGAAATGCAGTATCCCGAAATTTAAATGTCCTTTCCGAGGCGGCGAAAAGTCAGCAGCTGCGGAGCTGTTTCGCTCACACACGCAATATGTAATTTTTACTCCGTAGAGCTCGGGATGCAAAAGGCTTTCTGTCCACCTCGAAGCATACCCCCCTTTCCCCCTCCAAAGAAACCCCAAATAGCAATTACTGCGATAAAGCAGGAATGTCCAGTCGGCCGGGGTCAGCGTGAATATACATAGGCAGAAATCTTTAAAGGCCAGTCTCAAAAACGCACCCCCGCTTTCCCTCTGCCTTCCCTCCTTCCTTCTTGACAAGTCAGTCTACCCTGATCCAGTTCTGGTTCGTCCCCACCCCACCCCGACCTACGACAACTACTCTGAGAAAAGTGTCAACAGCGCAGGAATGGGAGAAAAGACAGCCCGGTTCGGGCATTCGTCTCATTGCGGCGTTAAACCGATAGAAAAAAAATTTCATCAAAAGACAAAATAGATTCGGGTGCTTACCGGGTTTTCCACTATCTGAAGGAAATCCAGCGTCCGAAAAGCGGCGAGGAGCGCCTTTCAGAGGAGCGGGTTGTGGGCAGTGGCGGGGAAAAGTGTCTCCCCAAATAGGCAGAATAGCCTCTCCGCGTCCGGAGAGTCGAGTTCTCGCTCGGGTGTTGTAAGTTCCAGTGGAGGGTGCCCGCCCGCTGCAATGGGCAAAGTTTCGTGGATGTGGCGGGGGTTGCGCACTGCTGGCAGGGGTCGGCGGGAAGGGTGGGGTGGGGGCGGCTGGGCCGGAGGCGAAGGCCCCCTTTCACTCCGGGTCTCCCTTCTCCGGGCGCCCGGAGAGCGACTGTGCTTGCTCAGCTCCCTCTGTTCTTCCACCCTCAAGGGCCCGCCCGCTCGCTCCCTCTGCCTCTCGCTGGAACTACTACAGCGAGTGAGCTTTTATACTGCTATAATCCGCCCTCCCCTCCTCTTATTTTCCCGCCAAGCATCTGAACAGCCCTGCCCTTCCAGAGGCAGGAGGGGAGCCAGGCGGCGGCCGGGGCGCGGCGACGACGGAGGCAGCGCCAGCCGCGAGAAACGGAGCCCGGGGGTCCGCGGCCGCGCAGACCCTCGCCTATAAAGGGCCGGTGGGCGGGGATTCGCGAGAGAGGATCTTTTTTCCTTCTCCCCCGCCCTCTGCTTTTGGAACCCGCGAGCGGCTCTCCAGCGGAGAGAGGGACGGGACGGGGAGGAGACTCAGCCCTTTCAGGCTGGCACTCCAGTGCGCCGAGCTTTCGGGATGTAAACAGTGAGAACGCATGAATTAACTGCGAGCACCTACCATTTTCTTTTGCTCCCGCTCAAACCCTCTCCCCGTCTCGTCTCTGCTGCTGCTACTCTGGCGCAGCACTGTTTGACCAACCGCGTACTTGTCCTGCCTGCTTAAATCATCGCAGGCGGAACAGCTGAGCCCTTAACACTGAGAAGACACCGTGTACCCACGGCCACGCCACGCACGTCCTGGGCGGACGGACGCCTCCTAAGGCTGGGGAAAGGGCAGCGTTTGGAAAATAAGTCCTGTGAGGAGAGGAGGAAAGAAGGGGTGTTTATGGGCGCGCGCTTTGAGTGCGCGTGGGGCGTTGTGTAGATGGGGATAAATGATAGAAGGTATAGGGGGAAAATGATGCCTGAAATTATTAAGATAACTCAGCAACCCATTGCCACGTATACTTGGAAAGCGCGTTATGAATAAACACCCATTGCATTTGTTGGGGGGGGGTCTTAAGCATTATTTGTGTACAGCTATCTCGATTGGGCACCTTCCACCCAGAAGGAATCCTTCAATTTGATGCCAAAGCAGCAGACACTCCCTCCCGCCACCCCCATCCCCACCCCCCGCGCAGTACTACACTGGGCTCCGCGGGAGCAGGCTGTTCCCCCGGGGACGCGCTAGTCCTTGAGATGTTTCTGCGTGTTCCAGAGCTGGAGTAAGGGAGGAGCGTGGCTGTGGGTGCGCGCTGCGGGGAACCTTCCCCCGCCCGCGCTCTGCCGGTCTGCATCCCGCATCACACCCCCGCGGCTCTCACTCGGAGTTCCCAAATCTGCAGCCAGGTTTCGGAAAAGAGGCAAATCCTCTTTGCATCCCGTGGCGCAGGTTTGCACCACTCTGGGGCTCCCAGGTTTGGTGGTAATCAAATGCGCTAGACAGGAGAATATTGGGGAGGGGGACGTGAGCCGCTGGACCCGCCTCCCCAGAAGCGGGGGAGGAGGCGAGCTTGTGGACCCGGCCGCGGGATTCAGCAGAGACCCTGGTGAAAACCGTTAACTCTTTCCTTCTCGGACAAATGGGACGTTTATTTCCTTTCGGGGTCTTCTTTCCCCTTTATTATTGCAATTGTGATCACGCACAAAAAAATGCATCGATTCTGATCAAAGGACAGGAGCTAAGTATTACTTCTGTGCTTTTTTGGGGTCTTGAGCCAATTAAAAATTGGCCGAATTTCAGGTGTTAATTTCCTAGTTCACTATATTTTTTTCTGAACACCATAGTGAAAGTGCCTGAGTATAATCCGCGTACATCTACATGCATTTCATGTACACGTCGACCCAGAGTGTTGCCCAACGCTAGACATGATTTGCTGACTCCCTGAATGAATCTATATGTAATAGGTGTATAATGCATATTCCCTCGGGATTTGCTATTTTGCATTATACTAGGGTATTAAAAACGACGGCAATCTTCCCATCCCTGATCCCTCATCCAAACGCATTTTAAGCAAACTTTTCCACTCCTCCACCCCACCGTTCCAAAACAGGAAAAAATTCGGGGGGTGGGCGAGTATAGCATGCTTGTGTTCAAGATAAATTATTACCCTCTGAGTCTGCAGCTCAGGGTTCAATTGTTAAACGAGTAGTAACTTCCTCTCGAAATCAGGCGCAGAGCACAATTCCAGCTTTAAGGATTGCAAATTACTCCAGCCTCTAGGCCTTTGCCGCAAACGCGGGAAGCGACCAATCCCTAGTCCTGGTTTTGCTGCAAAGCTTCTTTCTCCCGCCCTCAACCCGGGTTGCACCCGCGCCCGCGTTTGAGAAAGTAAAGTAAGTATGCCCTCTACTGGCGGCTGGGATCCCGCGTCTGGATTCCGAGAGAGGGCGGGGGTCGGGTGGGGGCGGGGACTTCCCGAGCGCAGGAGGGCGAAGGATGGGCAGCTCTTTAAAACCAATTTCCAGCCACCTCTCTGATTCCTTCAGGCCAACTGCAGAGGGGCTGAAGGAGAAGAGACTACTGGCGGGAAAAGTGGTTTAGAGGAGGCTATTCAATCGCATAAGTGTTGGTGAAAATTAACACATCACTGCTTATTGACAATGACCATCACCCTATGGAGAACTGATGCTATTTAGGGAAACGTGAAATAATTAACAAGTACACCTGTGAAAAAAATTTTCAACAGAACTCTAAAGCAGCAAGACAAGCTTTAGCTAACCACACGTCTTAGAAATCCATCATCTTCTAACTGCCAAATTTTAAAGCAAGACGCTGAATTTATTGGGGAACGGGAGGCAGGTGGAAGGTGAGGGCTATTTGGTTTTGCTTATTAGTTTTTTAACTTAAAAAAAACTGGCCTTGTGAACAATAGTCAGATGTTTAATAGTGATGGGAGGGGGTGCCTTTGAGATTCTGTTGAAAAAAACTGTAAAGGACCATTTTAATAAAAAATTTTTGTACCAGAGCAATAAAGGTCGAAGTCAATGTGAAGGAAATTTACATAGCCTACTTAGTGGGTGTGAATATTTCAAACAGGTTTTTATGAGGAGTAGGGTGCTTAGCAGTGTCTCATCACCTAGCTGTACCCTCAGGAAATTTGGCAACAGGACATCTCCCCTGAAGGAGGCGTCTTAGGGTGATTTCCCAGGAATCTGGCACTTTTGGCATTGTTCTGCTAGAGGCTGAGTGACTGCTCTCCACAGGGGCAAAATGAGAAAAAGACAAAAAAAACACCAAACCAACCAAACAAACAATAACAACAAAAGTAGGTCTTGACCTCAGAGGGTAGTTTTTTTGGAAGTTGCTAAAGATGGCAGAGATGCCCTATCTTAAGGTCTGACTACTAAATTATGCCAGCTCGGTGTCGGGTGCGAACCCCAGGTGGGTATGTTGCTTGCAGGTTGAGGACTCAACCTCATTCTCTCCTAGGCTGGTGACATCACTGGGGTGGTACTTTCAAGTAACGGAGTTATTTTGTGTCTCCAGACAAAGTAGGGGCCATTCCATTTTGCAGATGAGGCAATGGAAAGTCAGATCTCAGTGAACTTAAGGGATTTCCTCATTTCTTTTCTTTAGTAATTTTAAAGAACATTTGACCCAGAATAGGCATTTGCTGGGTTAAGAAAGGGATGAGGAGATTAAAATTAATAATATCATTGCAGATGCCCAAAGTGATCAATGTTCAGTATAAAAGAAAAGATGTAAATAGAAAAATAAAGGAATAAGATTACTAAGAGTTTCTAATCCTGATCACCCAGAGATAGACGTTGGAGTCTAACTTTTAAGGAAACTTTTTTTTCCCCAACGATTTTATTTCCTTTTTCTCCTCAAAGCCCCCTGGTACATAGTTGTGTATTTTTAGTTGTGGGTCCTTCTAGTTGTGGCATGTGGGATGCTGCCTCAGCGTGGCTTGATGAGCAAGCAGTGCCACGTCCGTGCCCAGGATTTGAACCGGTGAAACCCTGGGCCACCAAAGCAGAGCATGTGAACTTAACTACTCAGCCATGGGGCCAGCTCCTAGGGAAACTTTTTAAGGGACAGCCTGACCTTTCTACTTCCTTTTAGAAGTCAGTGGAAGACGTCTATTGACTGAACATTTCTGGCTTGCTGGTTTAGGGACACTCTAAGGCTGCATCTCTCCTTCTATTTGAGAGGCGGCTGGGTTTCTAAGAAGAAGCAGGTCTTCCGAAGGGCAGCTCTATTATGACCCACAGGGCTGGGGCTCCAGGTAAACAGTCCAGTAAGATTTCCTCATGGGAGAGAACAACACTGCGTTACTGCAACGAACATTCTTTCTTCCAGGATCGTACAAATAAGAATCATTACTTCTCACCACCGTATGTTCTCACAATTGCTACTTTTATACTTAGGAAAAAAGAAAGAAATGCAGAAAGAACGAGCAATTTGACTAAACTTCCTCCTTTCTTTCCAGAGACACGAAAGGAGAGACTCAGAATGTGTGTGGCTTGTATAACAGAACAGTGGTTCCCCTCTGCTCCTTCTTTTTTTTTTTTTTTTAAAGATTTTATTTTTTTCCTTTTTCTCCCCAAAGCCCCTCAGTACGTAGTTGTATATTCTTCGTTGTGGGTCCTTCTAGTTGCGGCATGTGGGACGCTGCCTCAGCGTGGTTTGATGAGCAGTGCCATGTCCGCGCCCAGGATTCGAACCAACGAAACACTGGGCCGCCTGCAGCGGAGCGCGCGAACTTAACCACTCGGCCACGGGGCCAGCCCCCCCTCTGCTCCTTCTTTGAATATCTCTTCCTCTACCTCTCAGAAAGTTTCCTCCTGAGTTAATCTTTGACAAATAAGAGGAGTGACTAATATGGAAAGAAACTGGACCCCTGTGATCAAAAACCAAGCTCCAGTTTGGGGACAGGACAGAAAGCTCAGGATGGGTGGGCTGTTATTTCAAAACCCCTTCAAGTCGTGTAAGGTCTGTCAAGAAGGGAAGCCAGAGAGGAGAATGATAAGTACATGTCTCCAGCCGAAAGATCATTTTGAAAGAAACGTTGTTAGATTAAACCCAAGCTAGCCAGGGAATATTAAAAGAAGGGAAGATCTCGCAAGCATTTGAATGCCAACCGTTTGTCTCAACGAGAGGAACAAAGAAAGCTCTTCAGCAGACATGGAAATAAAATTCAGCATCCTTCATTTATAGGAAGGGTAACAAATAAGGCAGTGAAGAACATCTTCGTGCATTTTACAAAATGCATTTTGAAAATGTCGTCTCCTTCTCCTCACCCCTATACTGCATAAATTAAGCAACTGAGAAGGAAAAAAAATTAGGAGATGTTTTTAGCATAAA